AATAAAATATATATATATTGATAAGTACCAAAATTAATTGATACAAATAATAACAACTTGTGTCTCTTAATCAAATTTTCAAAGATTCAAATTCTGACCTTGCGTATAGAATATATATAATAGTCATTAACTATTATGAATATTTAAAAAATATATATACTTGAAAAATATTTATTTTTAATTATTAAAGTTTATAAAAACATTTTAAAGTTAGGAAATTAAAAGTATAATAATATAATTTGAAAGTATTTTAAAAAATATATGATATCAATTTGAGTTATTATATTTTTGTTTTATGAATATAATGTAGTAAATTAACTTTTATTTACTACAAAATTTAAATAAAATGAATGATTAAAACACAATCGAACCTATTTTGGTCTAGAATTGTTTTTTTTTTTTAATTATATAAATACAAGTAAAAAGAAATGGGCAATTAGTCTTGATCCACAAATCTACTAGTTATTTAAGATGGGCCAAGACTAACCTACGGGCGGCTCGATTTGCCATCCAACCTCCTACCTTCCAAGTACACACACTTTCTAAATTATAGGTAATTGTTTTAGAGTTAATCACTTAGGGGAGTGTATTGGATTAGGATTTTAAAGGATTTTTTTAATTAAAAAGAATCCTACGGATTTTAAAAGACTTTGCATGATTTTCATGACTTTTAAGATTTTGCAGGATTCTACAAGACTTAAAATTAAGATTTTAATGGATTCTGCAAAACTTTTAAATCAGGATTTTAATGGATTATGTGAGATTTTATGGAGTTTTGACATTTGATAAGATTTTAAAAAATAATTCATACATTCAAATTTAAAAAGAGTCAAAGACAAAAATAATAAAAAAAAACAATAATGTTTAGATAAATAATAATAATAATTCTCCATAATATCCTATCATCTTTTTATAGCATCCACTATCAATTGTAACAATTCATCGGAATCCTCCTTGGTCCAAGTTTCATAGTTTTATTTCTCTTTTCCTTTTTCTTTATTATTTCCTTGTGAATCTCTCATTTGAATTACTAAAACAATATATGTTGAAAACTAGTTATATAAATAATTATGGATAAGAGACAAAATCAATAAAAATTATATTATTATTTTTAGAAGCACACCAATCATACAAGATCGAATATATCTTGGTTATCCAAATGGATCAAATACCTCAGTCATTATAAAAAAATGTAAAAACGAAAATATAGAAACACAAGATAATTTTTTATATAAAAAAAATCAGTATATTCGATACTGAGAAAATATTTAGATATAGAGAATATATATATATATATATATATATATATATATATATAT